AATTACTTAAAGTCTTAAACAGGCAAAATTCAGTTAATTGAACATTTCATCATGTATGCAGAATTGCACATAAATGATTTAAGGGTCACATATCCATAAACTTATAATTTCACATTTTCACAATTACAAATTACAATTTACAAATTACAATGAAATCCATAATCAGGCATTCAAGCTAAGTAGATGTATGTTACTTTATATGCTCATCATTTATATGGATTTCAGTCACACACTCACACATTTATATGGATTCCACAAGAATACCAGCATGCCTAACATTGCCACAATGGCTAGGGGCTAGGGCAGTAGGGCTTCCACCACAGATTAGGTTACAAATTAGAAACCCTAATCAAAGTATCAGAAATTCACACTCAAAGGACTAGTGACATGCAATCCGGAACTTCTCAACAGATTGACAAGTATCACAGTCCACATAATCATAACAAATTAGAAACCCTAATCAATAAGACAAATAGACAATAATCTATAACAAAAATTTAAATAGGGTTTAGCAATTACTTCGTTTCTCAAAATTAATCCCTCGAGAACAAAGGGCTTCGATTCCAGCGTTCCACAGTTCCACCGGTGACCGGACTAGGGCTTCCACCACTCCACCAGACTACAAATCTACAACTGTGAGTGTCTAAAACTGAGAAGTGAGAACTCAGACACTCAGAGTCTCACTATCTCAGAGAGTAAGACTCAAAGACCAGAGCGAAAGAGAGAAGTAGAGAGAACTCAAATGAAATGAGAGCTCGGCTGCGCTGAACAAACATTCAATATATATATATATATATATATATATATATATATATATATATATATATATATATATATATATATATATATATATATATAACAACCACACAACGTCGTATTACATAGGGTAAAAAATCCTAGGGTTATTTCGGATATTCGGGCGGGTTCGGGTGGCATTTATTGCCTCCAACCCGAACCCTCTTCATCCGCCATTAAACGCATCATCGGGTCGTATCTGGGAGTTCGGATACGGTCAACTCCACGGGTTCATCCGTCGGGTTTCGGATCGGTCGGGTGGGTCGGATGATTCGGATATTGCACACCCCTACTCCTACTCTATGTTCTATGTATCTAATCTAGTCTAGCCTATTAAATAGCTTCCTACCACCAGGATTATGTGGTTTAATGGTATCCGGGTTGGACTTCCATTTGGAAGATTATGAGTTCAAGCCTCAGTGGAGGCGTTATTGGTTCTTTGTGTTTCAGTAGGTTGAGAAAGTATATGAACAGATATTACAAAAAAAAAATAGCTTCCTACCACATTTGGCCTTCAAAAATCCACCAAGGCAGTAGGTCCAACGCTCTGGCCAATCACTTATCTCTTTCACGTTGCTATCGTGAGACTTTTTGTTTCTCTTCCATGCTTGGCCTCCTAGTCTCGACTCTGATCCGCTCCATTTGCCTTGTAATGCTCCCAAGTGTGCCACCATGCCTCTTTTGAGCTCAAACCTTCCAATTCTCACAAATGCATAAAGTGTGGTGACAGTTTATAGCACAATACACATTATGGCTCAGATGGTCTAAAATGGTGCACAAAATATCATAGTTAAGCTTAAACTACACCCCTAATAGACCTTAAAACTAAGTGCCTTTGGCACTTATCACCTAGCAACCTTCGCGTCTGGTCATGGTCAGAACTCCAAAAAATGATCCAAGCAAGATTCAAACTATGGATCATATAACTAATATACCCATAAAACTTCATCCAACTTTGCTATCTTTTCCTTTGGTACATCTTGTGTTTCAAAATATTTTAAGCAAACTTCCCGCTTAATTCTTCTTAACCAAAATATAATCTTGGCCTTGACATGAACAAAAAAACTTGACTCAATCAAAATAAAATTGGGGAGTTCTAATTTTTCAAAATACATTTTGCCTCATCAAAATCTTTCAATAAATTCTTAACAATTTCCACATTTTTATGATGCCAAAACCCATACCCAAGTCATTTGGCTTCGTCAAAATTTTGAAAATAATATTTTTGACGAATTTTATTGCGACTAGCCATTTGACGGGTTTGACAAAATATTAGACTTAAAAGATAATCATAATCGCATATTGAGACTAAAACGAGAGGTTTGCTAGAATTTTATTTTATCTTGATTTTTCATCCCCTTAATATTATTTGCTCAAACATACGACATACACATATGATACTAATTTGTCCAAATAAAATCTTAGACCACAACAACCAACAAAAAAAGACAATATAAAACAAAAATAACACGGCAAAATAACTAGCAAAGTATATGAGCAATGACCGTGTACATGTAATAGAATAGATGCACAAAAATATAGCAAATGATCTAGCAAGTAGTTTACCTTCCTTTTGCTAGCATGCCATTGACGTGCTCCCTCATCTTTACAAAATCATTTTCGTAGTCAACGTTGAAGTAGTGTTCCTTGATCTGTCCGGTTACGTAAAAACCATAAGCTTCTTGAATTGTAATTCCTGGCTTCAAACCATAGGATGCACTCTTCGAAGGTTCTCCCATCACTCATTTCTTCAATTCATCGGTGTTCGGAAAATTCTTGTAGCTCTCACAACATCTGTATCTTGGCATTCTGACTAGAACCATTCCATCATTTTGCTACCACTTCCTTGACCTCATCCTTGACTTGGGGTTCTCATAGGAGATGTTCGAACAACTGGACATCGACACTCCAAGGAATTTGTACCACTTAAGTTCAATGTAACCTGAGTGCTTGGCGCACATACTCCTTCATGAGTTGATTCGGTAATCTCCGTGGCTGTGTGAGGATAAAATGAATTAAGGCTCAAGTTGTCATCTCCCATGGAAGAAGGGTACGGTTCTAAATCTACAATGCAATCAATTTCGGCACTCCGTAAATTTGAACCTTCTTGTGGAGCCCTACGAGTCTCAAGCGTAGAATTGTGTAGATCAGAGCTTGGTTGATCTCGGCTTGATCAAAGTCTCCCGATTGATCAACTAATTTAAGACACCTTCAGTACACACTCCTTTTTTGGTCATCCTGCACGCTGCAACTTTAGACATAAAAGTAGAGTTAACAAATGATAACCTCGTGGCCTTTGCGAGGTCACGAGTCCCCAACCAACTTAGTGCAAAATCCTACTTGTTCTTTGCATCTTGCCCAATTCTAGATGTCATAGTGTCATATTCGGCAAGCCTCCAATTCCTCCAACTCTTAACTCGTGCAAGTTCATCAAGCAACAAATTGTTTACTCCAACAATGGATTGTCTTCAACCTTCACACCTAGCAAAAAAAAAAAAAAAAAAAACAAAACAAAACAAACAAACAAAAAACAAAACAAACAAAAAAAACAAAGCAAACAAAAAATACAAAAATAAAAGAAAAGCTAAAATAATTTTTAAAAAAAAAAAAATTGCTATATTAATAAAACTAAGGGTGGTGTGTTTGGTTGACAGGTTTAGCTCTAAGGAATTGTTTGGTTGATAGGTTTTTAGAACACTACTATGTGTTTCAAATACCCCCTTAATTGAAAAATCCCTACCCAAATAAAATAAGAGTGTCGTCCGCTTTCATTCCCTTATTCCTTCTCATCCCCTTTGATTAGTGCTTTTAGATTTTTGTTTTTATTTTTTTTGTTCATATTGGTGTTTTGGATATCTTTATATTAGAATCAATTGTCTTGATTTTGTGCTTTTGTATTTTTAAAATCTTTATTCCCATTATTGGATCATACATAACCAAGCAGCATTATTGATAATCATTCTCATTCCACCCTACTAACAAACATGAAAAATACTTTCACTAAAACCCATTACCATTACCAAGTATTTGATACTCATTCTAATTCTGATTCCCATATGTGAACCAAACATACCATAAGTGTTCCTAATATCGAAGTCTTTGGCAACGCTGCCAAAAAAACTTGATACCTAATTTCAAACTATACTTGAAACTGCGACATACACCTCCTAATTTATGCTAATATCTTTGTCAAGAGTATTAACAACTAATTACATTGATTATCGTAATCTCTTCTAAATGATTTGTCTCAAACACAAAGGATTGATGTCATCCTATCTTTAGGGTTGCAATCCACCCCTTCCAATCGTGTGAGGTCTACACATACAAAAGATATCTCTATCACAAAATGCGTGTATCAATCAAGAATTTAATAATCCGGAATTATTAATTCAAGAACGATATAGATCAACATTGAATTAAAGGAAAAACAACATTATTATGGCAAGAAAAAAAAAAACACACAAGGTATCATCTTTGGGTTCATAGTAAATTCAAGTGCTACAACATTTAGCTTCTAAACATGGAGGCAAATACACAAGAAATCAAAGAAACTATTTGAAGAACATAGAAAATTCTATTTAATCCGCGAAGAAATCTTGATTCCTAGCCTTCTTGAGATGTAAAAATATCTTCCCAAGAGCATATGAAGACCCCAAAAGTGTCTTGGAACATTTTCTTGAAGTCTAGGGTCAAAACGTCACACCAAATAGTTAAAAACGCGTCTTAAATAGATTACCAACAATTGACACGACTGTGAAGTATGCGGCCGTGTCAAAATCTGATATGCCAAGCAAACTCTACCCACATTTTCACCCTAATTTTTCCTGAATATGTAAAAACTATTAGCATGAAAGTTATAGAAGATTGTCTTAACTTTCCAGGGACGACACTTGAATCACCTCAATTGAATTTCATATGAGAGATATGATAAAAAAATACTCTCAACATATTATAAATTGCATGTTCAGAAATTCAATAAAAAAAAAAAACAAATATTAATGAATTGAGTATCATATTCCAAAAAAAAAAAAAAAAAAAAAAAAAAGATACAAATAAAATCATTATAAATGTGATACTTAAAAATAAGTTTAGTTAAGTACTATTCAATTGCAATGGTCCGTGGTGAGTTTGTTTAGTTGGAGGGAAACGGCTTGCATGATGTTAATAATGACGAAGCTAAATGGTCACCACCGGAGGCGGGAAGGATGAAGCTAAACACCGACGCCGCTTTTGACTCTGTTCACAACATAATGGGGTTGGGGTGGGTGTTGCGTGACGATGGAGGGCATTTCTTGGCTGCAAAGAGTATTCGGATTCAAGGGCAGTACACGATTGTTGAAGCCGAGGCGCTGTGTATGCGTGAGGCGCTATCTTGGTTACGTGATACGGGTATGGACGAAGTAGATGTAGAAACAGATTCCCAATTGTATTTTAATACGCTGAGGTCTGAGTCTTTCGTTTCTACGTTTGGTTTTTTAACTGATGATGTAAAACAAGTTGCCTCAATGCTAAACAGGGTTAACTTTGCATATGTTAAGCGATCTGCGAATCGTGCGGTCCATGCACTAACTAGAGAAGCGGTTTCTATGTCAGGTCCCGAGGAGTGGTTAGATGTACCACCCAACTATTTGGTTCCAATTCTTGACTATGATTTAATGAATTGAGTTATGTTTTCCAAAAACAAAAAAAAAAAAAAAAAAAAAAAAAAAAAAAAAAAACTCATTGAGAAAACAAATAAATAAATAAATTATTGTCATCAATTAAGGACAAAAAGGAAAAAGATAAATCACTACCTAATATATTAAAATTAATACATAAATAGACATCATATGACTAATTTCGTTTACTAATTATTGTCGTTGATGTTGCTCTTGCCAACAATTAGTGAGATCATGTTGTCATGCTTCAACAAATAAATAAACTAACCCATCTATCTACTCGAATTCAGTCCATTATTTCATCCATTTATGAGGTGTGTGTTGTCATGATACTTGTCTCATCTTTATATGGAAAAAGAAATTGAAACTGATTCAAAAACAATACGTTTAATCATCTATTTTTATATTCGAAAATAATATGCTTAATACTTTTTAACATCAATTTAAGTATCAAGCTTTCTCCCACATTGCTTGTGTATCTCACTATTTCTCACTATTTAAATTACCACTCAATTTAGAAGGTTTCAAGTGTTATGAAGAGGAAACAAGGGGAGAGACCGTGCGCACCGGGCGGCGTGACACGGTGTGGTCAAAGTTTTGTCCCGCACATCTTTCCTTTTTAACTCCTAATTTTAAGGAGTTTTGACCACCTTGTCCGCACACTATTCACAAACCGTGAACGTGCATGGGACATGAGTGATTCTCCTTCACTTGCTCTCCTTCTTTGTAGCATTTCACTGGATGGGGTGGTTTTATTCTCAGTATATATAACACACTCCATCTCAGCTAATAATACACGCTGAGAACCTTCCTCCCACCTGAAAAATCCTAAACTTCCATGTTCATAGTGAATCTGTGTCTTCCTATCGAGAGCATGCGATACCCTGGTCGCAAATGCTTTTAAGGGAGTGATTTATATACACGCCACAGATATAAGTTTCCTACTTTTTCCCTATCCATTTTCAGCGCCTATTTGCAGAATTCGAAGATCATTATTACTGCATATTTCGACGCTTATATAAAGTTGGTGGATCGGAACTGCTGTTGCATTCTCCAATTTTCTGCTGCTGCTAATTTCGAAGCATATATATTGCATATATATATATATATATATATATATATATATATATATATATATATATTCGACACTGCTGAAGCTACTAGTGTTATTATTATTGTTGGTGTTCGAAATTGAAGCTGCCACACTGCTTCATTCATGCTTCATTGTTAATTATTATTGTTATGCCAAATTAAGGCTTCACGCTAATTGCAAATTTATTGCTGCTATTCGAAACCGAAGTTGCTACTCATTTTATTGCGTTTGTTCGACTCACTGTTGCTGTCCAGGTTGGTTCGCATACACGCAAACAACTTTCAACAATTTAAAAGCATTTTCTTTAATCAACAATGTCGAACACTCACTCCGACATAACGCCGGTTGAACCTCTCACTGGGGGCTTGAACTACAAGCGATGGGCTGGTAAGGTGATGATGATTCTCGAATCTAAAGATATAGACTATGTCATCTTTGAGGATTCTGAGAAGAGTACGGAGACAGTGGCGCAAGTTCCTGCTCAAACTGACAAAACGGTTGCAACAGAAAAGCAAGCATCCTCTGCAGACTCAACAGCTGAAAAAACGACTCAGGTTCAGGCCACTGCAGCGCTACAGACAACTCGAACAAAATTCGAGAAAGATAATAAAACTGCACGGGCAGAAATTCTTCAACGAGTAAGTAATCCGCTTTTTGACATTTACTTGCCGTACCGGTCTGCTAAAGTGATATGGGAGCTAATGAAAGCCAAGTTTGGCGTGGATGATGTTGGAAGGCGAAAATATGCTGTGCACAGATGGCTGCACTTCGTGATGACGGACGACAAAACCGTTACTGAACAGGTACACGACTTTGAAAACCTGGTAGCTGACATGAAATCTGAAGGAGCCCTGGTCAATGATGCATTTCTGTTGGACGCATTGGTTGATAAGCTGCCCGATTCGTGGTTAGACTTCAAGAACAAATCGAAGCACGAACTGAAGAATCAGACTCTGGAGCAGCTAATCAACACTATCAATATAGAAGAAGAGAACCGATTGGTTCAAAAATCTAGTAATTTTTCTGATAGTATTAAAGTTAATGTCGTTGAATCAGGTGGAGGTTTTGACAGGTCTAAAACTGGGGAAGGTGCCAGAAACCAAAGGAAGAGTTCAAAACCAAACAACAATAACCGTGTGAAAAACGGTAAAGTTCAGAAAAAAAGGAAAAAACAATAAAGAGTGTTATGTTTGTGGGAAACGTGGCCACAAGGCTGCTCAATGCTATCACCGAAAGGGTTCAACGAACCAGACAGGTCCAAAACCTACTGGTGAAGGGCAAAAGAATCAAGCAAACGTAGTGGAAAATTCAGGAGATACCAAAATGGTAGCTGCAGTGATAACTGAAGCAAACATGGTAGGAGATCCAGATGAGTGGGTTGTGGACACGGGAGCTACTCGTCATTTCTGCAACAACAAAGACCTGTTCAAGGTGCTCGAGCTCAACACCGGAGACGAACAAGTCTTTATGGGTAACTCCAGCATCTCTAAGGTAAGTGGTAGAGGAACAATTGAGCTAACACTTTTTTCTGGAAAGCTTCTGTTATTGAAAAATGTGCTTTATGTTCCTTCCCTGCGTAGAAACCTAATTTCCGGAGGCCTATTGAATAAGGTTGGAATAAAAATGGTTTTTGAGTCTGACCGCATGGTTCTGACTCGCTGTGGAAAATACCTGGGAAAGGGATATTTTCGTGCTGGCCTTTTTGTGTTAGATGCTTCTGTAGCTAGAAATCAGGTTGCTCTTGTAGGCTCATCTAAATGTGATCTCCTTTCTGACAATGTTGCCAATAATAAAGTTTCATCTTCTGCGTATATGGTTGTTTCTTTAAATCTTTGGCATGATAGATTAGGACACGTTGGCACTAAATGCTTAAACAGACTAAAAAGCATGAATTTACTGCCAAAATTGTCAAATGAAGCATGCACACAATGTGAAATTTGCGTTGAATCTAAATTTGCTAGAAGTTCGTTTTCTACAGTATGTAAAAGAAAGACATCTGTTTTAGAACTAATTCACACGGACTTAGCTGATTTCAAAACCACTGAAAGTAGAGGTGGAAAGCGTTATTACATCACGTTTATAGATGATTTTTCGCGTTTCACTAAACTTTATTTATTGAGATCAAAAGACGAAGCAGAACAAAAGTTTGTGGTTTTTAAAAATGAAGTTGAAAACCAGTTAGACAAAAAGATAAAAAGGCTTCGATCTGATAGAGGCGGAGAATATGAATCTAATTCTCTTAAATCTTTGTGTGAAATCTCTGGGATTATTCATGAAGTAACAGCACCATACACTCCTCAACAAAATGACATTGCTGAGAGGAAAAATAGAACTCTCAAGGAGATGATTAATGCAATGTTAATCAGCTCAGGTGCACCGGACTCTTTGTGGGGGGAAGCTGCTATAACAGCAAACCACATTCTAAATAGAGTACCGCACAAAGGGTTTGATAAAACACCCTATGAACTGTGGAAGGGGCATGCCCCAAACCTTAATTACCTGAGAGTATGGGGTTGCTTAGCTAAAGTAGGGCTGCCGTCCTTCAAAAGGCCCAATTTGGGACCTAAAACCTTAGACGCCATTTTTGTTGGGTATGCTGAAAACAGTGCTGCATATAGGTTCATGTATTTGGAAAATCGTACAATGGGTGAAGCAAGAGATGTCGTTTTCTTTGAAACAGTCTTTCCCTTGAAAACACCTTGTCCCTCATCCGATGTTAGCCTTCAACAAAATTCTACTAACTCTTTTCCGAGTTTCTCAAACACTTCAGAGGAACCAAGAAGAAGTAAAAGAGCTAGAATAGAGAAAAGTTTTGGTTCTGAGTTCATAACATACTTAACAGAACTGAAAGACATAAATGAAATTTGTGATCAATTCATCTGCCAATTGGTCCTAGAAGAAGAACCAAAAACCTTTCAAGAAGCTATGCGCTCGGTAGATTCCACATTGTGGAAAGAGGCTGTTAAAAATGAGTTAGACTCTATACAGTCAAATCACACGTGGGAGTTAGTTAATCTACCAAGAGGCTGCAAACCTATCGGTTGCAAATGGATCTTTAAAAGGAAATTGAGACCAGATGGCTCAATTGAAAGGTTCAAAGCCAGACTAGTGGCAAAAGGCTACACTCAGAAATTCGGTGAGGACTATTTCTTTACTTATTCACCAGTAACAAAAATAGCAACCATTCGTGTTCTATTTGCTTTGGCCTCTTTACACAGGTTGTTAGTTCACCAAATGGATGTGAAGACTGCGTTTCTCAATGGTGAACTAGAAGAAGAAATCTATATGGAACAACCTCCCGGATGCGTAGATCCTGGCCAAGAAGGGAAAGTATGCAGACTTAAGAGATCTTTGTATGGCTTGAAACAAGCTCCCAAGCAGTGGTATGAAAAATTTCATAAAACTTTATTAGACCTGGGTTATACTACAAACCGGTCAGATGCCTGCTTATATACTAAAGAGATAAAGTCTAGCATTGTGATCATCTGTCTCTATGTAGATGACATGTTGATTTTTAGCCCTAATATTGAGGCTATAAACGACACAAAAAGAAATCTATGTGACAAATTTGACATGAAAGATCTAGGGGAAGCCGATGTAATACTTGGGATAAAAGTCACAAAAACCAAAGAGGGTTACCTCTTATCTCAAGGTCATTACACGGAGAAACTTCTAAAGAAGTTTGGGAGCTATGATGTAACTCCAGCCAAAACCCCGTACGATCCCAGTGTAAAATTGTCAAAGAACATGGAGAACAGTGTGTCACAAGAAGAGTATGCAAAAATAATCGGTAGTCTGATGTTTCTAATGAACTACACTAGACCCGACATTGCATACGTAGTAAACAAACTCAGTCGCTATACCCACAGCCCAGGTGTCTTACATTGGGATGCACTAAAACGGGTACTGAGATACCTGAGAGGCACAGTAGACTGGGGCCTAGATTATAAAGGGTCTCCAGCTGTGCTAGAAGGGTATTGTGATGCGAACTGGGTAAACGGTGGTGATGATGCAAGCTCAACTAGTGGATATGTATTCACTATGTGTGGAGCCCCTGTATCGTGGAAATCGTCAAAACAATCCTGCATTGCCAGATCAACGATGGAAGCTGAGTTTATAGCTTTAGATCTAGCAAGTCAGGAAGCAGAGTGGCTGAGAAACCTATTGGCAGACGTGCCGTTGTGGGGGTATCCAGCACCTGCTGTGCCTATACACTGTGACTCACAAACTGCCATCAGTGTTGCGCAAAACAGTGTCTACAATGGCAAGAGAAGACACATAAGAGTCAGACATGAGTCTGTGAGGCAGTTAATGCTGAATGGGGTAATCACAATGGAATTTGTGAGATCTGAAAAGAATATAGCAGACCCCTTCACGAAAGGTCTGAATCGAAAGACCGTCCTTGATACGTCAAGGGAGATGGGCTTGAAACCCAATGTGGTAAGAAATTCGTGATGCACCATATATGTTGGGCATATGAGATCACGGAAAGACTTACAAAACTGGGAAAACCGGTGACAAATCTGTAGCCTGTTACAGGTAGTCTATGCAGAGATAGACTTGACAGATTGAAAAGTCTACATGTAGAGGTAGACGAAGCAGGGATTATCACAAAGTTAATGAGTGCAACTAAGTTCAAAACTCGAATGACCAATGAGTTCAAGATCTAATTCACTCTCGGGAAAGGGTTACTTAGTTCCACTACATGTCAGTTCAAGTTTTATACACTGATATGGAAATTAACTCTGGTGTAAACTCAGGTTGGTACGGTATAACAATGCCATCTTAAATGTGTGGGGGATTGTTGGGAACATTTAAGTATCAAGCTTTGTCCCACATTGCTTGTGTATCTCACTATTTCTCACTATTTAAATTACCACTCAATTTAGAAGGCTTGAAGTGTTATGAAGAGGAAACAAGGGGAGAGACCGTGCGCGCCGGGCGGCGTGACACGGTGTGGTCAAAGTTTTGTCCCGCACATCTTTCCTTTTTAACTCCTAATTTTAAGGAGTTTTGACCACCTTGTCCGCACACTATTCACAAACTGTGAACGTGCATGGGACATGAGTGATTCTCCTTCACTTGCTCTCCTTCTTTGTAGCATTTCACTGGATGGGGTGGTTTTATTCTCAGTATATATAACACACTCCATCTCAGCTAATAATACACGCTGAGAACCTTCCTCCCACTTGAAAAATCCTAAACTTCCATGTTCATAGTGAATCTGTGTTTTCCTGTCGAGAGCATGCGATACCCTGGTCGCAAATGCTTTTAAGGGAGTGATTTATATACACGCCACAGATATAAGTTTCCTACTTTTTCCCTATCCATTTTCAGCGCCTATTTGCAGAATTCGAAGATCATTATTACTGCATATTTCGACGCTTATATAAAGTTGGTGGATCGGAACTGCTGTTGCATTCTCCAATTTTCTGCTGCTGCTAATTTCGAAGCATATATATTGCATATATATATATATATATATATATATATATATATATATATATATATATATATATATATATTCGACACTGCTGAAGCTACTAGTGTTATTATTATTGTTGGTGTTCGAAATTGAAGCTGCCACATAATCCACATTGAAGCTGCCACACTGCTTCATTCATGCTTCATTGTTAATTATTATTGTTATGCCAAATTAAGGCTTCACGCTAATTGCAAATTTATTGCTGCTATTCGAAACCAAAGCTGCTACTCATTTTATTGCGTTTGTTCGACTCACTGTTGCTGTCCAGGTTGGTTCGCATACACGCAAACAACTTTCAACATTTTTATATTCGAAAATAATATGCTTAATACTTTTTAACATCAATTTATTAACAAGATGTACATTATGCAAATACTATAGGTGATCAACTCAAATTCTGGTTCCTTGAACATGCACGATTCCAATCATATATGTGGGACAAACAGTTCAACATATATTGGGTGGGGGCTTAAAGGATCAAATACAGTATTTTATCATTGAAATATAACATTATAAGAAAATAAAATCGTGCATTCATTATATTTTTGACATAATAATAAGTGTTTTACTAATTGTGTTTTTAACATAATGATAAGTGTTTGATATCAAAGTAGGTCACGGGTTCATATTCCAAAAGCTGAGAGAAGAACTAGAGGATAAGTCATGTTTTTAAAAAGTGGTTGGCCCGACACA